GGGGGACTACAATTTTAATTTCAAATATTTAAATCTCAATAACTGCCACCCTCCCACCCCAAACCTTAAGATGATTTTATGAATCTGGAAACGCCGAGTTCTTTAACTGTGAAGAAAAAAAATACAATTGTAATTTTTATTGACTCCTCTCCAAAACCATGAAAAAACAAACAAACAAATAAACAAACAGACAGACAAAAAGTACAGACAAACAGACAAAAACCACTCAACCCCCCACCCCCTTGTCACCCCTCTCCCAACCCCCAGGTAACCTGGCGACATACATCAACTCATACTACCACAGCCGGGTGCCCTCAGAGACGGACCTGGTGGACCCTCAGTGGATCTTCTCCGCCTTCTTCATCGCCTTCTCTCTGGCCATCATCGCCTCGGGCTATATCAGCAACCGCTACGGGCCCCGCCCCACCATCATAGCGGCACTCTTTGTGCACAGGTGAACGGTTCTCTGGTACATGTACTACTACCTTATGTGAGGGTGCAGTGGCGGAGTGGTTAGTGTGTTAGAAAGTCTGGGTTCGAGCCTCGGTTCGCTGGTACTACTACCTTATGTGAGGGTGCAGTGGCGGAGTGGTTAGTGTGTTAGAAAGTCCGGGTTCAAGCCTCGGTTCGGACACGGATTTTTTTCGCCCCCTCCTGCCCACCCAGCAGTAATGAATGAGTACCTGACTTCGAGTTAGGGAAGTAAAGGCGGCGTGGAAAGGAACTGCCCACCCTACCACAATATATGCCGAAGGCTCAGGAAGTTGTCTCACTAACAAGGCAATCCTCAATGTCCGGATCGGATGCGGGAATAACTTTTACTTCTTTTTTTAAAACTACCTTTTACTTTTTACTTGTGTGACTGCTGCATATCTTATATTATTATGGCCTCACATTATATTTTTTTAAATGACATTTGTAAAGAATACGAAAACACAACCGGTTACTTGCCTACCTGTCGTTTCTTTTACACTGAAATCTCGTGAGAATTCAAAACGAGACAATAATGATGTGACGTATCAAGGAAGGGAAATAATTATGATATTGAAGAATCGTTCTTTCAACATTCGCAACATAGTTCATTCCCTTTTTTTACATATCATAGCATCATTCATACATTACAACTTGTTCATCCGCTGTTGCCATTAAAGCGTCGAGGGGAGATGCAGTTTTCTATGGTAGGCAGCTCCGCAGCTCTTTCAGTTGTGATGTTATGTTTTCTCAGGGTTTCCTTGACACCCTCGATCCACCTTTTGCGTGGCCTTCCTCTTCCTTTATAGCCTGAGTACTTGTAGACTTTCGAGGCTGGTTGGTCAGGAGACATACGTAACAGGTGGCCAAACCATATAATTCTCTGTCTTTCTATGTAATGCAGGCAGGACGATTTTCTGGTAAAAGTAAACTACAGAGTTTTCCTATTTATTCTTTTTTGTGGGAGGCGTGCTTGACAAAAAAAGCAATATGTGAGGCAGCGTGGTGGAATCAGGCTCTCGTCAATTTTTGGGCATGTAGAGTTATTGGTATCATCTTAAAGCTTGTTCACTTGTCTTTATTTGGATGGAAAAAAAGTCCATTTATCTTAAATACAAGTGGAGATATTTGCGATTGAAGGAGGTGGAGTTCACCTGTTTTTAGAGGAAAAATTAGTGAAAATATGGCCGCCAAAGATTGGTTATTTCCTTAGCTCAAGAGTCCGTGGTAACTGAAAACTTCCCTTTTTTGTGCCTTAAATCAACGTTTTTCAGAAAAATTTATACAGAAATGAGTTCTGTAATAGGCATGAAAAGTGTTGAGCCAAAAAACAAAAATTTGATAAAAATTCACAAACGAGAGCCTGATTCTACCACGCTGCCTCACATATATGAGTTTGTATATGGTGGGGTTGGGGGGGGGGGTTATATACCTCAATTTTACCGTTTTTCTGAGAGGAATGCAGACCGGAGAATTTATTGTTGTGTTTTGTTGTTGTTGATTGTTTGTTTGTTGGTTTGTTGTTGTTTTTGTTGTTGTTGTTGTTGTTGTTTTTTTTTTGGGGGGGGGTACCTCAAACTTACCGTTTTCCCGAGAGGAATGTAGATGGGAAAATAGGGGGGGGGGTAAAGATAAATAATTAAACTGATATCGTGGTGGACTATGGTACAGATTTAAAAAACTGGAAGTATCATCTCTGACTCAGAGGTTGACGTGTAATGACCCTCCATCCTTCACAGTCAGAGCTGTCGTTGTATAATATTCTGTTATATCCAAGCCAGTCCATGTTTTTATGGTGTCCATCCCTGTTACTCTTAGTCTTCCCCTGGCTCTTCTGCCCCGCATCCTTCCTTCAGGCACCTCTTTCACTATGGTCTCGCGTCGTTTTTTTAGTGGCCAAAGTATTACCCTTTTTCAAACCCTGAAGTTGTTTTTTTTTTTAAAGGAGGGAGGGAGGGGGCAGGCAAACGTCTTGTGCTTTTCATTCAACCCTTACAACACCTGTTTTCATTTAACCCTTACAAGTGGGTGGTTGGCGGGTGCTCTGGTGTGGTTTGCTTCTTCTTTCCTATCAAACATCTATCGTCCTTATCTCCACTTTTTCTTTTTAATGTTTGTTACTCTCTTATAACACCTTTAATCTTCTGGCGCTCATACTGCCTTATGCAGTTGCGAGCGCCGTAAAACCTCTACTAAAACTAAACTAACCCTAACAACTCCTGTTTTTATTTAACCCTTACAACACCAGTTTTCACTTCACCCCTTCAACTGTTCTTGTTTCGCTTTCAGCGGCGCCACCTTCCTCAGCTTCTACGCCATCCAGCACTCCATGACTGCCCTCATCCTTACGTTTGGTGCAGTGGGCGGGGTCGGGGCGGGGCTTGCCTATGGACCGCCTCTTCCGGTTGTCATTAAGGTAAGAGGTAGAGATAGGCAAAATCCGAATAATCTATAAGGATAACCGGATAATTCTTAATGAAACATTATCTGAATTCAGACTCTTAAAACTCTCTTTCCTGACCTGTTTGCCGAAGTGGGCGCATCCATTTGTCGAAGTGGTTCTAACCCGTTTGTCGAAGCGGTTCTAACCCGTTTGTCGAAGCGGTTCATATCATAATATTTGCCGAAGAGGTGCACTAACATATCATCCAGATTTTGCTAAAGCGACTCATTGCCCAGCCTTAGTAAAAGGGGAAGTTTGTAAACTATAACCGAGGGTGGTTGGCGGGTGCTCTGGTGTGGTTTGCTTCTTCTTTCCTATCAAACATCCATCGTCCTTATCTCCCTTTCTTCTTTTTTATGTTTGTTACTTTCTTGTAACACCTCTAATCTTCTGGCGCTCATATGACCTTATGCAGTTGCGAGCGCCGTAAAACCTCTACTAAAACTACCTAAAAAACTATAAGCTCAGCATATTTTTGTCAACTCTTTCAAGCTGCAATCCTATAACCTGCTTTGCCGAAACAAATATTGGCCAAAGCCTTAAAATTTTTTTAAAATAGTGTTACATTATCAGCTAATCAGCCCGAATCAAGAGGAAATCGGCAAGCTCCTAGAAATAGGGCACGTTTGAAGAGACGTGTGTTGGACAAATTATCAATCAACCACTGTGTGGGTGCCGTGCGCTGTGTGTAATGTGTGCCTCTAGCGGCCAATCTGCTGGCGGTACAGCGGGGCAAATTTACATTCGTTTAAGAAGACCGTACAACTTAGACAGTAAACTGTTGGCGTGTGAGGACGCACTATGTTAAAAAAAGGCCCTCCTTTTCGCGCATTAACAAAACCTGGCGATAAGCGGGGCTAACGGTACAACAGAGGGCGGTACAACGAGGTTTGACTGTACCTATGGTATGTACATTTATTGGCCATTTTCAATCTAATATATTATTATTCAGAATTTGAATTTGGAAAAAGTGTTTCTGGTGCGCATGCAACCGATACCACAGTTTTAGAAACTGTCCTTTTAGAAATAGGATTTTTTAAAAAAATATGGGCTTAGTACATCTGAACAGATGGCTGACGAATCTACCTTAAGCATACAGTTACAATGTCATAATTGTTGCACTGGTTTTGTTGATGCCTCCTTTCAACAATATATATTACTTATCTCCCCTCCTTCTTTGTGTTATACACGTCACTCTCTCATAACACCTCCAATCTTCAACACTCTCATGTGTCCCATTTGTGTTGCAAGTACCTTAAAACTCTTACTAAAAACCGTACCGTCTGCCTCCAGTGGATGCCCCGGCGTGTCGGCCTGGCCAGCGGAGCCCTGATGACGGGGTTTGGGGGCGGGGCTATCTTCTACAACGAGCTCGTCACTTTCTTCATCAACCCAGACAACATCAGGCCAGACGTGAAGGGCTCGAGAACCACGTGAGTTAGTTTGGTCAGGGATATGACCATGTAGGTGGTTGGCTGGTGCTCTGGTTTTGGTTTGGTCCTTCTTCCCTGTCCAATATCTGTTGCTTTTATATCTCCTCCTTTTTCATTTCTTTTGTTTCTCTCCGGTAACATTTCTAATCTTCAGTACTTAGATCTATATTATGACCTAATTGTGCTCAAGTGCTGCAAAACTCTTACTAAAAGTTAAAACGAATATGAGAGGCAGCGTGGTGGAATCAGGCTCTTGTCAATTTTTGGGCATCTAGAGTTATTTGTATCATCTTAAAGCTTGTTCCCTTGTCTTTATTTGAATGAAAAAATATCCGTTTACCTTAAATACAAGTCGAGATATTTGGGAATGAAGGAGGTGGGGGGCACCTGTTTTCAGAGGTAAAATTAGTGAGAAAATGGTAGCCAAAGATTGCTTATTTCCATAGCTTAAGAGTCGGTGGTAACTGAAAATTTACATCTTTTATGCCTTTAATCAACGCTTTTCAGAAAAATCCACACAGAAATGAGTTCTTTAATGGGCATGAAAGGTGTTGAGAGCCCAAAAACAAAAAATTGATACAAATTCACAAACCTGCAGAAAAGTGCAACTTTCTTCACTTTAATTATTTTGACGAGAGCCTGATTGCACCGCGCTGCTTCACATTTCTAATCTTCAGTACTTAAATTATGACCTAATTGTGCTCAAGTGCTGTAAAACTCTTACTAAAACTTAAAACGAATACATGTATTGCTATCGCTATTGTTGTTTCTTGTAGGCAGGCATAATTCAAGTCCTAATCCTGAGGCTTCACGAATTACATTGTCAGGTAGAAAGGCTAAAACCAAGGGTAAAGCCTGCAAGCTGAGCACATCCACAGAAGTGGAAATAAATCTTTTAGATGCTCGAAATATGGCATGGAACTCTTCTCTGTCGCAGTTGGCCTCATTGGTCATAGCAGAAGCCACAGGTCATCTAAATCCTAATTTCTTCTATTTCACTAATGTAATAATATTCTCCTCTCTGAGATGCTTAGGTACTCGTCAGACATTGACAGAAGAACTATTAGTGAGGCAGCGTGGTGGAATCAGGCTCTCGTCAAGTTTTGGGCCTGTAGGGTTATTGGTACCATCTTAAAGCTTGTTCATTTGTCTTTATTTGGATGAAAATAATATCCATTTATCTTGAATACAAGTCGAGATATTTGCGAAAGAAGGAGGTGGGGGTCACCTGTTTTCAGAGGTAAAATTAGTTAGAAAAGGGCCACCAAAGATTAGTTATTTCCTTAGCTTAAGAGTCCGTGGTAACTAAAAATTTACCTTTTTAAGCCTTTAATCAACGTTTTTCAGAAAAATCCCCACAGAAACTAGTTCTTTAATGGGCATGAAAGGTGTTGAGCCAAAAAACAAAAATTTTATAAAAGTTCACAAACCTGCGGAAAAATGCAAGTTTCGTCAATTTGATTATTTTGACGAGAGCCTGATTCCACCACGCTGCCTCACATTATTTTTGTTTGCTGAAAAGTAATTCGAGCAAAAATAAACCAACGGCAAACAGTCGAATAGAAATGAAGTTTTGAGACGGTAGGCTTCTAGAATTCTATTTTCTTACAATTTCCATGTTGTGACTTTTCCTGTTTTTACAGTAAACATATTGTCGTCCCCGCCATTCATCAATGTCGTATGTCAAAATAATATGAGGTTTTCCGCAGAAGCAAATAAATACTGGGGCGTGGAGAGGGGTGGGGGGGGG